ACTATGACCTCCGAAAAAAAGCAAGATCTATAGCGATGATTCCTTCCACCATGTAAATATCGGGCACGAATCACAAAACTTCCCTAGCAGCTCTACATCAACATCGATGTATGAGACTTATGTATTTGTCAGGATACTACGTGATCATAATTGCAATAAGGAGCTCGACGCCCTCACAAGTAACTCTAAAACATAAAGCCTTGCATCTCGTCTGAATGAACGCATGCGTAAATCAAAAGATATTTAATTTTTTATTCACGTTAACATAGTCTAAAATGACCCTTCGATATACGTAAAACACTGAGTAATTCTTTCGCAAACTTTAGTGAAGATTTGCCTGCTAACTTCAACAATATGACACACTTAGTAACTGATAAAATATATGTTTCAACGCCAAAAATATATATGAGGCGATAGAAAGTCTTAGGAATAAAACAGGTGTAGAAATTGACAGTATCCCTACTATGTTCCTTAAAAGATGCGTATATCCAAGTAACTGGAAGGCCGGCTACATTATCCCAAAATACGAAACTGAAGACATAGCGAATGCCACTAGTTACAAACCCACATCACCCCAACTATTTCTTGGATCATAAAAAACGTTATGAAAAACAGTATCTGAGATTACAAACTAACTCATAACATAGTCACCAAATCACAACATGGTTTCTGAACAGCATTGTGCAACAACAAATCCCCTATATTTCTGGCGCATGGGCCTGATCGGTTTCAACGATTTTTAGTCATTATATTTTAAATAAGTCGTTTTATGTCTCATGCTAAACTCCATACTTCCAAATAACTTGTAAGCACTATCAGCCGGTAAATATGCATATAAACAATTTGTTTATTGCACACCAAAACACTTAGTCTAGAGCATGTTTATTATTATTGTTATTATTCACAAACATCTTATGGGTACATAAGTGCTGTGAAAAAACCATTTCGGGTTTCTTCAAAAATGCAATAATACACAATTTCCAATAATGTTAACATTACATATGCCATGTTTGAGAAAGGAAGGAAAAGGAAAATAAGATATTAATAATAGAATAGTAATAATAAATCAGGTTCTGAGTAATTAGCAAGAAATTTGAATTGATTTTGAAGAAGGAAAGGAAGAAACTAAGGAAATAGAAATAAAGGAGTCGCGGAATACGTAAATATCTTAACGTAGAACAAGAATAAACAACTATGTAAGTAGAGCAAAACGAGCAATAAAAATAAAATAAAACAGAATAAATTGATAAGTAAATAACTTATTATTGCAGTAAGATATGACGTTAGAATAAGTGTTTGTTCGTGCAGACAGTTTTGGGTGATGCTATGGAAGTCTCAATTAAGTTCAAAAGATAATCAATATGTATGAGGTGTATATACATAGTGAAGATAAAACGAGTCTGATAAGTTGAATTCAACGTAACTAAAGTTATTGTCTCAATCCAAAGCTTCGTAATCTTAAGAATACTTATTTAGAAGGAAAAAAAGGAGCGAGAAAAGAAATGAACACATAATGAAAGGATCCAACCATGATCATAATAGTGTAATCGATATAGACTGTTGAGATGAACGAATAATTTAAAAATAATAATAATAACAACAATAATAAACTCTAACGGATAAATACGTGTAGATTTATGTAACAGTATACAGAGTGAAACCGGGTATTAGTATAAACATTAGTGCAATAATAATAATTTGGAATGATGCTATCATAGTCACAATTAATTGCAAAGAATAATTAAATATAAATTTCTATATGTTATATATATGTTGTGAATATTTTTTAAAATATTTGTTTAAGGGTGTTTTGTTTTAATTGTAAACTTTGGATGTTTAGGAATAAAACATGTTTAGAAGGACAAGAAGAGATGAAAAGAATATCTAATGTGTCGAAAGACCAATAATGATATTAATAACAGTAATAATTATAAATACGAACATAAGCAGACTTTGTATATTAAGATAAATATAAAATAAATAGAAATAGACGTGAAAACTTTCGAAGGTTTCACTTTGCTTTTCAGTCAGTTAGATAGATGACGGACCTTTTTGTATAAATCGTTGTTAAGCACGTTGATATTCAATAGGTGACACAATTCACTTTCGGAAAGAAAATCATCAAGAAGACTTCGGAACCGGATTATAGTTTCACTGCATCGGAGGTTCATAGGCAGTCTATTCCACATGGTTGAGTAGCAAATAACGAAAAAATTCTGGCGCAAATTTGTGTGCGTTTTTGGAATCACTAGAATATTTTCCTTATTGAGTAGATTGTGGGACGGTATCATAGAGTATGAAGGTGTAGATAGCGAAGAGTAAGAAATACCGTTAAGAAGCCGGTAGAAAAAGATAAGGTTTAATTTGATACGCCTGATCCAGATAGGTTCTAGTTTGAGTTGTTGACATCTTTGGTGATAGTCTTTGTTGTCCGAATACCCCAAAACAGCTTTGGTGAACCTTCTTTGAACACCTTCAATTTTAATCAGGTCATTATGCCTGCAATTACTGTAAACTAAAATACCATATTCAAGAATTGGTAAGATACATTTTCTGTATAATAATAATAATCTCGATTCGGTATTATTGAAATTAATCATTATGAATCCGATGAGCTTTCTAGCTTTGGATACTTGAAATGCAATGTGTTCAGAAAAGTTCAAACTGTCGCTATATCTTAAACCCAAGTCACGAACAGTGTTGAGAGGTTTCAGTGTATGTTGGTGTATAGCCAGATTTAAGTTAAGGCAACGGCTAATGTTAATAAATCCACTTTTGTCAACATTAAGTGGCAAATTCCACGAAATAGTCCATTCGTACAACTTGTTTATTTCTTCTTGGATTACTGTTGAAATATAGCTTTCTTTTGTGGGAGATGAGAATGAATAAACCACTTTTAGATCATCGGCAAAAAGAAAAGGTTTACCATATCGAAAGAGGGAGCAAACGTCATTGATGAAAAGGAGAAATAGTAATGGACCATTTACACTTCCTTGTATAACCCCACTGGTTACATTCACAGGTTTGGAGTAGCAAGATCCAAAGCCGACAATTAGGCTACGTTCTTCTAAAAATGACTTGAGCCAAGATAAAAGGGGATTCTGTATTCCATATGAAGAGAGTTTTAGAAGAAGAAGTTTGTGTGAGACGCTGTCGAAGGCCTTACTGAAGTCGAAGTACAGAATTATCACAGACTGACCAACATCTCTTCTCTGGGTAATTTGATCCTGAATCCGCTCATATTTAACAAATCACTATCAACCTTCTGTCCGAAATTCCTATAATTGTCCAATTTCAAGTATTAAATGAATTTTCGATAGCCATTCATATGCATTAGTAGTCCAATTAACTCCTGTCCCGGATGAACAATAATAGGGTCGAGAAAATCTCCCACTAACCAAACAAACCGTAATAATTTCGACAACCTAACTGGAACAGGAGTTGGAGTTCCTCCTCTCTACGGTTATACTTTTGATCCTTCAGTTAGCCTTCCAATGCGAACGCAATTGGAAATCAACTCATACGGACAGTATACAGGCATAAACGTCAAATGACTTTCTGGTTTGAACCATGGGTAATACCGACCAGTGGCCCTTCTCTCCATACCTTCAAAAATTATGGAATCCCTAGTATTCGACGGCATACTAGAACACTTTTCATCCTCAAAGTTCTTCTCGCCTCAACAGCATGGTTTCAGAAAAGGTCATTCTTGTATGACCAACCTGCTGACTGCGGTGGATAGATGGACAACCATCCTTGATCGCAAGTGGAAGGTTGACGTCATCTACCTGGACTTCTCAAAAGCTTTTGATAGGGTCAACCATGCAGGTCTTATCAAGAAGCTTGGACGATTGGGTATAAAACCCCCTTTAATTGATTGGCTCTCTTCATATTTAGAAAATCGACACTTTAAGGTCAGGGTTAACTTCACTCTCTCTCAGGCTATGGATTGTCCTAGTGGGGTCCTCCAGGGTTCAATACTAGGACCTCTTCTCTTCTTGATTTATATTAACGATCTTCCTCAACAAGTTTAATCTGACTTATTGCTTTTTGCTGATGATGTGAAACTTTGGAGAGAGAGATACGTAATCATAATGATATACTAGTTCTTCAGGAGGATCTGACTCGACTTCAAAGTTGGGCAGACGACAACGGACTTACCTTCAACACTTCAAAGTGCAAGGTAGTCCATCTGAGACATGTTGCAGACTATAGTTATAACTTAGGTAACTCACCTCTAGAAGTTTCCCAAGTTGAAAAAGATTTAGGAGTGTTGGTACCCTACGACCTGAAATCGTATGCGAACTGTGACAAAAACGCCTCTCAAGCAAACCTTCCACTGGTAACATTGAAGCGCATTTTTGGCCAGTTTGACGGTAGAACCTTCCACATAATCTTCAACAGTTTTATTCGTCCCCACTTAGAGTACGGAAACATAGTATTTCCTCCCTCCCTCCCAAAGGATAAGGTCACTCTGGAACGTATACAACGTCGAGCCACGAAATCAGTTCGGGGTCTCAAATTCAAACCTTATGAAGAGCGCCTCAAATCACTTAACCTTTACCCGTTAGAGTATAGGCGTCTTAGAGGTGATCTTCTTATGACTTATAGTATCCTTAATACTTCTGGTCATCCCCTTAAACAACTTCTTAAGCTTAGTCATAACACTAACCTCAGAGGTAACACCCAGAAATTGGAGACCCTACATAGCAGAACAGACTGCAGACACAACTTCTACTCCGTTAGAGTTGTCAAGTGCTGGAATTCGCTGCCGACTGAGCTAGTCCAAGCGACCTCCCAGGAGTCCTTTAAGAGGAAACTTGACTTATTCTTAAGGGCTAAGGATAACATATTATTATGATTTACCAAACTCTTTTTTTCCTCTATTATCGTTCATATACCTAGGTTCTTACCTGGAGGTATTGGTGATTCACTGCTACCAGACACGGAAGCCCGTTAAGCGAAAGCTTCTTCTATTCCGTCCTCAACCATTTGAACCATTTATGGGAGCGGCACATTAGCTGTATGCGCTACAGTTTAAACAATGGGGACTGAGCGAGTTAAAGCGGTAACAGAGTTACTTATTGGACATAATATAGATGAGCTACACCGTATAGTCCGCCAGAAGCGGTATTTTTTTCACCCAAACTTCTTACTTTTCAGCGCTGAAGTGGAACATAAAAAAGATGAGCTACGTCACCTTGTGGGTGAAAGACATCGAGACATTATTGATGCATCTGATCGAATACTACTGATGAAAAACCTTACTTATGAAGTGAGGACTTTGTGTGCTTAATAAACATTAGGTTTCCGTCTTATTAGACCAACTGAGGTCATACTTGACAAATTGGAGTCAAGACATAGAAATAAAAAAAGAGTAAGTTATCCGTTTTTTAATCGTAGTCCTTCCGTTGAAACACAATCGCACGAATTGTCAAAGGCTTCTCAACTGAAATTGATGCTGGACATACCGGAATTGGTAGGTTTAATGCAATAAGTTCCATTGAAAGATTTGGAATTATATGGATTTGGGTCGACACTCTTCGTCTGCAAGAATGTTTTTTCTTGGCAGATATCTGAGTGCCAGGCTTAGTTTCAGCCGCGAACAGCAGTTGTCACATGTAAACGCAAGTGTTCTTGTCAGTCGAGCATGGGACTCTTTGGTTCATATGGAAGCAGCTGTAATTTCAGCATGCCGTAAACGATTATCCGCTCCTCCGTCAACTAAAGAAGTGCTTAAATGTACAAAATTTTACGTTTTCAGGAATTATGCGATTCTCTTGCTGCTCTGTCAATGCTTGGTGACCTTTCCACACTACAGGCGCTCGAAGAATTTTTCAATGGCAGGAAAGTGAGTTTCTCCGTATTAGTCGCAAATAACCACTGAATCACGAGAATGTAATATGACAATATTTTTATTAGTTAAAGTTATCTGTTTTGAGCCTGTGGTATTTAATTGACCCCTCATATTGATGAAGGGATTTAAACAACTTCATTTTCGTTTTATGTTGATATAACGTTTTTATGGATGTTCAGTAACAGATGTACCACATACAGGTTCTGTTAGTTATTTTCTAATCACTCACTCTGTATAAGGGCTACTTATAATTCACGAATCTCCAAAACCAAATAAAAATATGAAATATGTTTGACAGCAAGTATGTAAAATATCCACTAGTTCTTACTTTAATTACTTTCGCCTGTTACTCCCAATGGAGCATAGGCCGCCGACCAGCATTCTCCAACCCACTCTGTCCTGGGCCTTCTTTTCTAGTTCTATCCAGTTCTTGTTCATTCTTCTCATGTCTGTCTCTATTTCTCGGCGTAATGTGTTCTTTGGTCTTCCTCTTCTCCTTTGACCTTCAGGATTCCATGTGAGGGCTTGTCTTGTGACGCAATCGGGTGATTTCCTCAAAGTGTGCCCAATCCACTTCCAGCGCTTCCTCCTGATTTCTTCCTCCGCTGGAATCTGATTTGTTGTCTCCCACAGTAACTTGTTGCTGATAGTGTCTGGCCATCGGATCCGAAGTATATTGCGTAGACAACTGTTAATAATCACTTGTATCTTCTGGATAATGGCTTTCGTAGTTCTCCACATCTCCGCCCCATACAATAGAACTGTCTTGACATTTGTATTGAAAATTCTAACCTTGGTATTGGTTGACAATTGTTTTGAGCTCCAGATGTTTTTCAGTTGTAGGTATGCTGCTCTTGCTTTGCCGATCCGCGCCCTCACATCTGCATCTGATCCACCGTGTTCATCAATGATGCTGCCCAGATATGTAAAGGTTTCCACTTCCTCCAAAGCTTCTCCGTCAAGTGTAATTTGATTGGTGCATATTGTGTTGTATCGGAGAGTCTTGCTTTTCCCTTTGTTTATATTGAGACCTGCTGCTGCTGAGGCTGCTGCTACACTGGTCGTTTTCTCCTGCATTTGTTGTTGCGTTTGTGACAGAAGAGCCAGATCATCCGCGAAGTCTAGATCGTCAAGTTGCATCCTGCCTGTCCACTGTATCCCGTGCTTTCCTCCAGTCGTTGACGTCTTCATGATCCAGTCGATTACCAGGAGAAAGAGAAACGGTGGGAGTAACAACCTTGCCTTACACCAGTCTTTACTTCAAACGAGTCGGTGAGTTGTTCTCCGTGGACGATTTGGCAGTTTAATTCATCATAGGAGTTCCGTATGATATTGACTATTTTCTCAGGCACGCCGTAGTGTCGAAGAAGCCTCCATAGTGTCGTCCTGTCCACGCTATCAAATGCCTTCTCGTAGTCGATGAAGTTGATGTAGAGTGATGAATTCCATTCGATTGATTGTTCCACAATGATACGTAGAGTTGCGATTTGATCTGTGCACGATCTATCCTTACGAAATCCAGCTTGTTGATCTCGAAGTTGGGCGTCCACGGAATCCTTCATCCTGTTTAACAGTACTCTGTTGAAGACTTTTCCTGGTATTGAGAGAAGAGTGATACCCCTGTAGTTGTCGCACTTGCTGAGATCGCCTTTCTTTGGTATCTTGATCAGAAGTCCTTTTTTCCAGTCTTTTGGTACTTGTTCTTCATCCCAAATCTTACTGAAGAGGATCTGGAGTATCTTGGCAGTTGCTGCTACATTTGCTTTCAGTGCCTTTGCCGGGATGTTGTCTGGTCCCGCTGCTTTGCCGCTCTTGATTTGTCTAATGGCCGCGCTGATCTCTTCAATTGTTGGTGGGCCAACATCGATTGGGAGGTCTGTGGGTGCTGCTTCGATGTTGGGTGTGTTCAGTGGAGCTGGTCGATTTAAGAGTTCTTTGAAGTGTTCTACCCACCTGTTTCGTTGTTCTTCAATGTCGGTGATTAATTTGCCTTCCTTGCTCTTCACTGGTCTTTCTGGCTTACGGTAATTTCCAGCAAGTTTCTTGGTTGAATCATACAGTTGTCTCATGTTTCCCTCTCTTGCAGCCTTTTCCGCTGTCATCGCTAAATCTTCCACATATTTACGTTTGTCGGTTCTGATGCTCCCCTTCACTTGCTTGTTTGCCTCTGTGTATTCGGCTTGTGCCTTGGCTTTTTCTGCTCTTGTTCGGCTGATATTGATTGCTGCCTTCTTGTTCCTTTTTTCTTCAATTTTATCCAGTGTACCAACAGTGATCCATTCCTTGTGATGGTGCTTCTTTTGGCCCAGAACCTCCTGACATGTTGAAACGATTGCCTCCTTGATACGTTTCCAGTTTGCTCTCCATGGTAGTTCCCTCTCCACTGAGTAGATCATGAAAGGCCTGGAACCTGTTGCTGAGGGCTCTGTTGGATTTGTTGAGATTGTCAGCATCTCGAAGAAAGGCCGTATTAAACTTTTGTGATGTTGTCCGTACCGTTGTCCAGTGCTTCTTGAGTTTTAGTTTCATCTTGGCGACCAGCAAATGATGATCGGATGCTATATCAGCTCCTCTTCTGGTTCTCACATCCTCCATCGTCCTCCTGAACTCTTTGTTGATGCAGATATGGTCGATTTGATTCTGTGTAGTGTGATCCGGTGAAATCCAAGTGGCTTTGTGTATGTTTTTGTGTGGGAATATGGTGCCACCTATGACCAGTTTATTGAAGGCACATAGGTTTGCAAATCTCTCACCATTTTCGTTCCTTTCTCCCAGTCCATGTTGTCCCATGACGTCTTCGTATCCAGTGTTGTCCTTTCCAACCTTGGCATTGAGATCTCCCATCAGAATGGTCAGGTCTTTGGTTGAGCACTTCTCGAAGATCGACTGCAGCCTATCGTAGAATTGGTCTTTAGCGTCTTCATCGTAGTCGTTGGTCGGCGCATAGCATTGGATGACGTTCATTGTAATGCCCTCTCTCTTTGTTTTGAAGGAGGCTTTGATGATCCTTGGTCCATGAGATTCCCATCCTATAAGTGCATTTTGTGCTTTTCTGAACAGCATCAATGCAACTCCTTGTGTATGTGGGGCATTTTCTTCTTCATAACCGGAGTATAACAGAAGTTCTCCTGAAGACAGTCGTTGTTGTCCAACCTGCGTACAATGCGTTTCACTGATTCCAAGCACCTCCAGGTTGTATTTTCTCATTTCTGCAGCAATTTGGAAGACTCTTCCGGTCTCCCACATTGTCCGGACATTCCATGTACCTATAAAAATTGTTGCTCTGGTTGTAAGAAGGTGCATCGGCCTCATGACTTCCGAATGAACTCGGCTTTCATCATGAGACGTCATAATTATTCCTTCTACTCCCAGGGAAGAGTTTAAATGGTTTGAATGATTTTTTCTGGTTAGCGTTTTTTTAGCGAGTTGATTTTCTACGGGATGGGGTCGCTAACCCCATGCCCAACCCTCCTCCTTTACCCGGGCTTGGGACCGGCAGCAACCCCCAGAGGAGCTACAGGCGGAGTTCACTAGTTCTTAATGTCCCGGTAATATATTGGGTCCCAGTGAAGCACGAAATATATCATTTTTACTAAAACTTCATCAGGGTTTCGAGGTCGGATCTCAAGCATGATTTTCTTATGAAAACAGCCTTTTAGGGTGAAGATCTGATTAATTGAAATTCCCTAATTGTTTGAAGCCCGAAAATGAATTTTACTTGTTCGCAGATAAAAACTGTTTTTCACATTACTTCCGTATCCGATGCTTGTTCAGCTGTTCGTCCTGTAACCTATTGGCTTCTGAATTCTTATTCCCATTTTTAGTTTTACACTTCTGTTTGTGCATCTTCTAACGTTGCTCCACTGCCTTGTGAATTAGACGTTTAGGTCAAAGGCTCCGGGCGTAGCCCCTTAAGAAAACCACCTGCTTCGGTTTGGACACCCGGGCGGCATCACAGCCCACACACAAATCAAGTGACTTGTGTGGCGCATATGTATTCGGTGTTCTTTTTTACGAATATTTGTGTTCAAATAAATAATAAAACTTCTGTCTGTACAGTTATTTCCACTCATGCTTTTAATCGTGATCTCTATACTGCCGTAAATTGTGGAAACCCAGAGTGCTACATGCCTGTGCCACGTAGTACGTTGTTTTTGACTGACCAGCTGATTTGTTGTTTACTTGACGTTTAGGAAGTCATCTCACTGTCACCATCATTGTCAAGTCAACCAGTGTTGTAACTGTAATATGTTTAAGCTTCATTACCGTAACCCCTTTCAAGCTGCATCTAATAGCGTTCATATTCTCTAATGGTTCCCCATACTTTTAAGGTTAATTAGGGAGCGAAATCATACATCTGGTGCCGGTGTTTAACAATAATGAGATATACTTCAAGGATGAATTGAAACGGGTCAATATCGAAGATAGTACCTCTTTCGATCCACAAAATTTTGGTTACAGTGGTTAGATTTTAAAGATACAAATTAAGCGAAATGGGTGCTTCCAAAACTGTTTGTCTACCATAAGCAAATATCCCTTAGACTGTATTTTCATGTTACGTGGAATATAAAACTGTTGCTACAAATTGGTTCCCTGTTTTCATGTCATGCAAAGGGATACAGTACTCCATAATTCATATAGCCTGATAGTATCATTCGCTACTCATCTTCAGGAGCACCATAGTTTACAGGTAACTCTTCCAAGTGGATCGGTTCTCGCTATGGATGTAACTTTAATCAAGTCACACACAAAATACAATTTCTATCTACGAAGATTGGGTTTAAATCTTTACTTACAGAATTATCCCACCGTCCTCTCCTTATTATGTACCTTGTTATTAACACATTTTAAAACGTGCTTTAATAATTGTTTTATATGATTTCCTAATTGAATAGTTATGAGACGAAAGTTTTTAGGATATCTTAGATTACTTTATCCGAAAATATTTGTTATATTTATTATTTCTTATCAAATGTTTCTTTTTTACTATGTTTTGTTCAAGGTTGGATTATATTGCCTTCTAGGTAGAGATTATTCACCACACAATGAGATACTAAGACGAAGACCTAATTTTGTGCTATCAGTTCGCAAACAGCTTTTACTGGTTATTAGACATATGTTGTCAACTTTGGAGTATCTGGAGTTTCTATTTTTGTCGAATACTAGCGGTGAGGCATCTACCTGTAAAGGAGCTCTTGATTCCCGGATTAGATGGTCTGTGGATTGGACATTCCAAGGTATTGCTTTCTTATGGAACGTTATAAACTAAAACTTGTAGTTAGTGTCTCATGTTGTCTACTTTACTCAACCTTGTTTTGTATGATAAAAATATGGATGTTTTGTGTTACATTAAGGCTTAATATAATGTAAATGAAACTTGAAAATCACCAATCGGCGGTTTCTCCCGACCGTAGCTGCTACCTTGACGGGCTTGCCTATCGTGATGATCCAATCGAGCTATGCTGGTTGGAACAATCGTTCCTCAAGGTCCTACCATGCCAGACAGGTCGGTTGAAGAGCGGTAAGACTAAAAGCAGCAAACGATTCGAGTACACAGAACGTTATTCTCGGTCTCCTGAAACCGCACTCTAAACTACATGTAGGAGCTTTTAATGTCCGGACATTGTGCCAAATAGGACAACAGGCTTCCTTAGCTAGGACTTTAGAATCTTACACCATCGATGTGCGCTGCGTCTCCGAAATGCGCATACAAGATCCGAGTAGCGTCATTCATTTTGTAGTGAACAGAGCACTAGTTGGGGACAATCGAATGTATTTAAGCAAACATTACAGACTATCTCAATAAATTCTGATAACCAAACAATGAACAGTCAATTTGCAAATTAACAACCAATTGTTTCAATCTGCACTGTTTCTTCTCTTATTCCATTGCTCATGCATTTTCCAGACGTTTGCGTTTCATTTCAGTTCTTTCCTCATCGGTCTTCTGCGAAAATACATTCTATGTCTGTAAGTAGACCACACCACAATTTGACCTCACTATATCAAAATAAAGAACCATCTCGATACACGCTTCTTGTATCTGGAAGCCCTGATGCTGCTTCCCGTGGCCTCGCTGGAGTAGGTATAGCATTGATTCCTAGAGCAAAACTAGATCTTTTAGACTGGATCTCAGTAGACAGTCGTTTGTGCCTTGTCCGACTAAATGGAACAGTAAAGACTCGGAAAGATAGGGACATTCGTTGTTGCCTCTTCGTCGTCTCTGCCTACTCTCCCACTGACCGCAGCTCAGATGATGTAAAAGATGAGTTCTACAGGAAACTTTCTGACCTCCTCCGAAAAGCTAGGTGCTCTGATGTAGTAATAGTGGCTGGTGACTTTAATGCTCAAGTAGGTAAACTAAGCGAAAGGGAAAGGCACCTGGGTAGATTTTATGGTGTTGTGGCTCAAAGAACAGATAATGGCGACCGTCTGTTGCAGCTATGCTCAAATAACCGCCTGTTTCTTGCAAATACCAACTTTAAGCACAAGGAAAAATATTTTTTGACATGGCGACCCCCGAATTCGTCCCAACGTTGGACCCAACTAGATCACATCGCTATCAGCCAACAATGGAGGAGCTCGATAGAAGACTGATTGATTACCTCAAGTGGTGTTCGTCAGGGCTGTTTACTCTCTCCATTCTTGTTTAAGTTTGTCGTTGACATGCTTCTGGAGATAACACTTTCATCATCTAAATCTCCAGGAGTTGAACTTTTACCGGGAGATTCACTTGTTGACTTAGAATACGCCGATGACATAGTTCTATTTGGTGAAGACGCTGACAAAATGCAGAGTCTTCTGACCACTATAAGCAACAATGCAGGCATATTCGGGGTGCGATTCCCCCTCTCGAAGTGCAAAATGTTACTTCAGGATTGGGTGGCATCGACACCTGAACTAATGATAGGGAGTGAAGTAGTTGAGCGTGTTGACCGCTTCACTTATCTTGGGAGTCTCATCAGCCCTTGTAGTCTGATGTGTGACGAAATCTCAGCACGGATACAGAAGGCTCGTCTAGCTTTCGCCAACTTGCGTCATTTATGGCGTAGGCGAGATATCCGTCTAGCAACCAAAGGACGGGTTTATTGCGCAGCAGCTCGTCCCGTCCTACTTTGTGGCAGTGAAACATGGCCGATAAGAGTAGAGGATATTCGTAGGCTACTAGTTTTCGACCATGGGTGACTTCGAAGCATTGTTCGTATGTCTTGGGGCCATCGAGTAAGCAATGCAGTTGTTAGGAAACGGGTACTAGGTAAGGATGGCAAATCGATTGATGAAGTAGTGAAACTTCATCAGTTGAGATGGCTGGGACACGTGTTACGTATGCCCAACCACCGACTGCCCCGACGTGCAATGTTTCATGGTGTAGGAGTAGGTTAGAAGAAAGCTAGAGGCGGTCAGACCAGAACGTGGAAAAATCCATGAAGTCACTGACCAGTGAACTGAGTTTATGTTGGTAGGTGTAGACTACTTGGTTGGTATCCGCGAGGTGATAGCAACCGACGGTTAGAGACTTTGAATGGCATGGCTCAAAATCGTTTGCAATGGCAAAGGTGCATCCACTCTTTGTGCTCTGCCAAAATCTATTCTTCATGTCCCTATTTTTTTCTCCTTCCAAATTTATTTTACTGGATGATACTCCTTGAATAACATCTTCAAACCCTAATCTTTTGGATTACTGCTTATACTCTTACTACTTCTACCACTATGGGATTTGAATCGACAACTTCATCTCCGTGCTAATATGGTATGGCAGCTCGAACTGTTGTACGTACGTACAAAGTTCTACGTTGTGACTGACTGACTGAATCGGCGGTTTCTGCAAGTCAACGGTTTTTCCCTTTATCATTCAAGATTTCAAGGTTATTTCACGAAGATGATATCATTTTTAGGAAATGTGCTAAAATTAATGGTCATTATTTTCATATAGTATGCACCACTAGTAACGTAATCAGTTAAAAGATTACAAACTCCACTAGTTCTGATTAGTGAAGTTAAATCTAAGTAGCGGATAGTGGCTGAGCTTCTAAGCTTTGTCGTGAGCCAATTTCTCATACTTAAATTCACCGAAAGTATCGCAATGTTTTAGTATAGGTTGGTACATTAATCATAAATAGGGCAATAAATAGAATGTATCGCAGCCTTTGTTCGTAATCCTATAAGCCAGTTAGATCTAGTGCATTGAGAATATTAGGTCCGGTCATAGTTCTCGTTAAAACAAATGTATGAATTTTAAAGCAATTAGTCCCTTTGATAAATTTCGATAATGCAATGAGAAGACGAAGATTATCAGAACTATGTTCTGATAATCTTCGTCTTCTCATTGCATTATCGAAATGTATCAATGTCCAGGGTGAGTCAATAAATTTGATCCTACTCGTTTTCAGCGTCGAACCTATTTAACCTAATCAGCATTGACAAACTTCTCCACAAATTGTTATTCCTTTGTAAGTTTCTCTATTTCGTCATCACGAAACCTTTTATTATTTTAGATTCACCTATCTTCTCCAGAGATCGTCTTTATACACGTTTACCGAGAGATGTACTGAATTTCAAACTGAAGGGTTTTAAATTTTCAGACGAATTTTCTAATTTTAAACACGATGAACAATACAGCTTGCTGATAAACTTACTGCGTAAAGCTTGGGATGCTTGGCGAGCTGAGTGAGTTTGTTTTCAACTCGTTAACTTCAGCAACTTTATTACAATTGCTAAACAACTCATGGGTTAACTACTGGAAAAAAATCAAACCACTGGTACTGAATTTTCCAAAATTAGGACTAGGTCGGTCGGTCAGTTTCAAGTAATGAACGATCTAACAATAATGTCCTTTCCATTTCCCGCACCACATCACATTGAGACGACGTTTACATTTGATTTTTTTATAGATGTCTAGGTAACTCAACAGAACATGTTTTAATTAATCCTTACAAGACTGGTCAGAAGAAATAATGCATTTACCACATTCGAAACTTAAAAGTAGTGGACTCGAAGTTTTTATGTTGTAGAAAATCGTTACCAACTGTTCGACTATCAGAGAATTTTAGCATAAAATTGTGTTAAACTTTAACAAAGTAAAGTCGAGGAAGCAAGGGAATATAATTTGAAATCTAATGTTATCAGATCGGTTAGTATTCTGTATTTTGCTTATAGATGTGGTATCCTTTAGTTTCAGTTGCATGAGAATGAACACGGGCAATTGACTTTTGTGGATAGTGACAGACATATGTTTTTGAATTTTTAACCTGAACTAAAAAATTCGCAAAGGTACACAGTTTGATGCGGCTGTTTACTATTTAGCTGAATTTCGAAAAATGTGTATTTCATAGCATTACCGACGATTATCTTTGAATACATCACTACACAGGAAAATCAAGAAAAAAAACTAATTCAACCAGATGAAAGTAATGACCATGTTTTTCACTCGAAATAGTCGGCTTAGCTATTTAATCTGTTATGTGGTTTACCGTTGCGAAATATTGAAATGTTGATAACACGTCCTGTGTATTTAGCTTCATATTTTATCTTATTATTGCAACTCATTTTTAGTGAACTGGTAACATCTCACAATTATATGGATTTCTGATTGCTAGTGTTAAGCTTGTTTCGATTAAAAAGCACCTAGTTAAAAGGTCTCAAATTTTGACCTGGCTAACATAAGCATCGTAAAATAACAAATGCACTAAGTAATTCTGATGTAAACTGTGCAGTTCGCTATCAATTCTTAAGTTGTCTAGCTCAGTTCAAATAAATTTTCAATCTCCATTTAGAGGGAGTGCACTGGATATCATTAATAATGAAAAATGTAAAGTAATAACATGGTTTTCACAGCAATGATATTTAATCACATTTACTATATTTTTGTGATTTGATTACTTACTAATAGTGCTATTCAAATATGCCGACAAGTTCTGTCAGAATCATTAAGTCATGTGTCTAGTTTTGAAACACTGGTTGATCTCCGTACAACTGCACTAGTTCTTGTACAAAGACTACAAACCTTCAGTTCTAAAAATGATACAAAGAAAAGTGATACAGGACCAATCAAATTTGATATTTGGATGGAATTACTGCGTGATTTATTCCTACAAAGATTAGAGGTAGTTCTATTAAATTTTATCTAGTCTTGATTAGATTTTCTAGTTAAACGATCGTGGTAAAATTGGGTACAGTTCATATATTTGTTTTATTTTAATTAGTTAATATTTAAACGTGTTTAAAGTGGTGTTCTGTACAAGATAGTTTTGGATGATAATCGTCATTGACACTGTTATCATTATGACATCTTTAAATCTATATTATTAATGGCGTTTAGTTTGAAATTAAATTTTCTCTCATTTGAAACGAAAACTGTGGGGATATATATGTCGTGACGGGCGGCGTCTGAAATCTGATACTGATACACTGTGTGCTACGCGCTAACCACCCCCGCCGACTGACTACTTCGGCAAGAAATTAAGAGCAAGCGAAAAAGTATATTGGGTGAATTACCGAATGAAATGCACAAATACTCATTCATATATACATATATACTACTCTATTACTTAGGAAATTGATCCATTTCTCAGCCAATGAAATGCACTTAGCCTTCAGGTCACTTTCGATTGCCATCGATCGACCTTGTCATTGAACTACTTTTGATGGGCTCACCATATCAATGTTAATCCAATATCTATACCCGTAACTGTGATTATTTACACTAATGAGTCACTTCATAAGCAATACAACATTGTCACAGGTGATGACGTTACTCGCAAACGGCTTGAGTAACAATTAGTTTGGTTACGTTCGGTTATCCTACACTGAAATGCGTATTTGCCAAAATGTCAGTAAGAATGTAATCATTGAATTAATATCTCCATTTATTTATTTTCTTTCTAATCAGTCGTATTTATTCTCATCACCTTAAATCTGTAAACACTTTTCTCCTGTAGAACCAAAGTTTACATTTTTATACTTAGGTTCGCTTTTTCATTTTTTGGTTTAATACTTCATTCGTAAAATAAACTTATATACATAATTATTTACCCAATCTAAAAGTCTTATTGATGTTTTTTATAGGTACTATTCACGGAGAGTTTTGAGAAAAGTTTCAATAAATGGATTGACCAATTCGATCAAATGTTAATCCGTGATTCGAAATTAAAGAGTGAGGATAACTTATCGAAAATACTGTCGTTTAAAAAAGTGAGCTTAGTTACCAGTAATTGCGTCATACAAACTACATATGTAATTTGGTGCTGAGCCCTAACTGGAACTTAGAAATATACATAGATAGTACAATACATATTTCTTAAGGATTGTGATATTCGTACCACCCTTAGTATGGTAAAGTACTAGTTAACGAAGCAAATAGGTAGCAATACTCATCATATTTAGGTAGTGCTTATTTTACAAGAAGTGACTAATTGAATTATGGAAATGTACGTAGCATTTTCGATGATCATGGATGGGAATCCATGAAGATTGACAGAAATTTACCCAAACTGGATTTCTGCTTCTTTTGTAACCCTAAGGTAATTTAGTTTCAGAAATCTCAATAACTTTTTTCGGTGAAAATCTAGTTCCATCCTTTAATTCAGTGATAAAAGTTTTTTATTGGTGAGATACTTATTTAAAACCAATGTGGGTCAGGATGTTTAACCTGCTTCGGTATGGTCATCCATGCAGTATTCCAGCCCTCACAAAAAGTTGACAATAGTTATAACTTGAAAAAGTTCATACTAGCTTCTATCCTCATCCTCAAATTATGCTCACAAAATTCGTTCCTTTTTAACAGGAAGTCCACTAGTAGCAATAAAACTCCTCCATCTTCATAAACATTTATCAAAAATTTATATCGACTCAATAAGATGATAAAGCATATTATAAGATTATCCCAATGCATACCGCTTTCTGCATCTTCGTGGTGGGACGGCTGTTGGTAGTAGTGGGTGGACAAAAAGCCAATGTCCGTCACTTAAACCGGGTTGACGAATACGAAGGATCCATCTGCATCTGTTGGAAAATCCTGATTTCATGCCAATGGTTCACATAGACCCTAGGGTCTTGGGATCAAATGGCATATGAGCCTGTTTTTAGTCACCAAGTACCATGGGATCGTATCTCCTGATCTTGCTCCTCTTTCTTTTGGGTTAGACCTGTAGATCAAAGACCTGGAGAGTGTCCTAAGACAACCACTTGAGTCTGTCTAGGCACTTGAGAAGTATCTCAGTTCACGAAACATTTGATGATGACTACAGCTGAAGAAAATACTCTCGCTCTTATTCCCATTCTCACAACTATTTAGTGACATTCACTTTTAGTTAACATTGCATCACGTATCTATTCTCTTTTATTCCCACTTTGTGTATTCCTTCATTCTTCAACTCATATAACAGCTCACCTATGGTGGGAATCCTGTCCCGTTTAGACGATCTCAAGTCACTGACTGATCAAAATTTGAATGCTAGCATCGAACACGAATTCTGAACCCACCTATGCCACTCAAGCTGGCCTCCTTCAACAATCGCACACTAATCCAGATTGGACAACAGATAGGGTTGGGTATGTCATTAGAAGGTCTCAACATCGACGTCTGTTGTCTATCCGATATCCGCACTCAAGATTCTAGTGAAGAACTGTAAATTGGCTCTCGATCTGCTCGAGGATGTATTGACCATATCTTCACCCTCCGCTAAATTTTCGAACGCCGCCATGCTTATTGCAGGCGAACAACCATTGTGTTCTACGACATCAGGGCCGTCTTCGATCCATTGAACAGGGCCGTTCTCTGAGATTGTCTGTCGAAGAAGGATGTACCTGAGAAGCTTATTAACATCTTTAAGGCCCTATTTACAAACAATTCAGAAAGAATGAAAACATACAACCACCTCTCCATTGTGTATTCAAGCATTAGGGTTAGACAGGGTTGCACAACCTCACCATTCCTTTCCAATTTCCCATCGATGATGTTTAGGAAGCACCTCTGATGGATGTAGGTAATGGTGGTGTGGTCGTAACCTGGAGAACAACTTCGATCTGGATTATGTGGATGATACGGTCTTGCTGTGCGATTATATCCAAGCCATGCAATCCTCACTGAATCAGTTGGCAATTAGTGTCCATAGGCATGGTATGTGCTTTGCACCTTCGAAGTGCAAAGTAATTTTACAAGACTGACAGGACCTTGATCCTGCACTCACTCTGGTTAGTGACCAGATAGAAGTAGTCGAGAAGTTCGTGTATCTGGGTAGCTGCATAAGTGCTGGTAGTGGCATGAGTGATGAAATCAATTCACGTATAGGGAAGGCCAGAACAGTTTATACCGATCTGAGCCATTTATGATGTTAGTGTAACTGTAAAGGGTCGGATCTATAATACGTCGATGAAAGCAGTTATGTTGTATAATTGTGAAACCTAATCTCGAAGTTGATGATGTTAAGCGACTCTCTGTGTTTGATCGTCATTATCTTCGAAGGATTGTTGTCACCTAATGGCAACAACGTGTTAATATTACAGAGGTGTAGCAACATGTGTTCAAGCCCATCAAAGGCAGTTTATTTCGTGTAACCATTTTGAAACACCTACTTTTACTACCTGAACATGTGTTACGAATCTTATCCCAGCTAATTCCACCTCGCGCTTTGTTTGCAGATGCTAGGATTGATTGGGAGAAGTGGATATATGATCAGTGTGCGACATGTTGTTGTGGCATGAATAAAATCTGTTCAGGGCTGGCAACATCTTCAATCCTAACCTTTCGGATTACTGCTTATGCTCTTATTACCTCTACCACTATGGGATTTGAATCCACAACTGTATCTCTGTGCTAATGTGGTATAGCAACTAGAACTGTTGTACGTACGTACGAAGTTCTACGTTGTGACTGACAGGACTGGCATGTGTTAGACCTTCGCGGCTCCCTAGTTTCAGTCCAAGAAATACTGCAATCCAGTAGCTTGAGATGATTTGGGACATGGCTCAAAAAAGAAGCCAGTGGTAGTCCTGTTGTAATTTCGTTTTAATTATAAGTTTTAGAAACTTCTTTAACTGAAAGAATCGTTTGTGGTTGTATTTTTCTTAACTGAACTTTATTATTATTATTCTCACTCTCATACACTAATTTCTATTTATTTTTTGTGTTTTTGTTATAACCGTCTCCGTTTCTCCATCTCTTCACAATCTCATTTTCATTGTGTACCGCGTATATATTTTGGTGCCGCCTTGTACCAACATTTATATACTTAAATGAGTAAATTAACTCTATGTTTGGACGTATATAATAGCAAATTTTTGAGTCGTGGTATTGATTCATCGTAATGTATTGTAACTGGAATCTCCTTGGCTTCACTTTTGGCCCATTCAGTTTCCTCACTACATGGTTTTTCACCTAAACCTTAATATTTTCTTCTCTATAGCTGGTTACTAATATGATTTTCACTTGCTTTTTTATGTAAGGTTGTAGCTATTTTTAAGATCACGATAAATCTGAACTAAGCAATGAATTTATGAAGTTTAAAAACCACTGAACATTTTGTCGTCATTTGAAATATATATATCCAATATTAACTCACGTCTACATTCACGTTTTATCGCTTTACCTTCGTAGCCCTTTTTCAGCAGTCCCATAGAAAATAATCAGTTTGACTGGGCTAATTTCGTTTGGTCAGATTGTCTAAGAGATATTAATATAAATGATTCGTCCGTTATACCAGATTTATTTTCCTCAGAAAAGTCCAAATCTGAAGAAACATCAGCATCATCGGTCAGTGTCTGGAATAGTAAAATTATTTCTCATTTGGTAAATTCGAATAATGTAGGCTTGGCTGTATTTTGTTGTCTTTTACATTCTCCAATTCCGGATTCATTTGCTTTGATTGAAAATGAGCATGAACATGACTTCACATCATCAGCTCAACTGTTAGTCTTTTTGCAGCGATTAGTTGATGAAAATGTTCAGTCACTACCTGGGGTAATAATAAATGGATATACAGATCTACAAAAAAAGCTTCAGGTTTTATCACCTGAATTGCTAGCGTAAGTTAGTTTTGTGGGTGTAATTTTACTCATATTTTCTGTAGAGGTTTCACATATAATTGGTGAGGTTTTTATGACTAATTCAGTGGATTCTGGATTCATATTTCAATTTGAGCACTTTTGCTCGTGAAAATCTAAGTACGTTTATGTGACGAGTTTTAAAGAAAATCAGATATATGTTGTAGACTTCCGTAATCAGTATGTCCGAAATTCCGTATCATATCACAACCGTAAGACGAAATTAGTAAGATGAGTAGCAAGAGAGTTGAAATAATAGTAGTATCAAAGATAGTAATAGTAATTAAATATTGGAGAACACAGTTCGGAAAGGAGAATGGATACGAGGAATAAAAAGTACGGAATGATATCGGAGCTCAATAATTAGAAGATAAAGAGTGAAACTATTCGCACTACAGTGATGGATGTTGAGCCATGTCAACTAGTCTCCAATCACTCATCCCAGTTATTGCGAGAACCTCAATTAGCTTTATTTATTTATTTAAACAAATACATATTGGTACCTCTAGTCTGTACCTTTCAAAATGGGTCAATATGACAGTCAATAACTGTTGCCATGTTTTGGTTTGTCCTCTCCTAGTGTTTTTCCAACTTATTTCTACTCCGGTAAATAAAGCATGTCGAAGTGGACGGTGATTGGACGTGCGTGACATGTTTCAGACACCCTGATTGAGGAAGATTTATAATCTTACCAACCGATTTGGTATTTTTACCTAGGTCTTTGCTTCTAATTTTAACATCAGTCACTCGATCATTTCACGATGCATGAGTAGTGCTTCGAAGACGCATGATCGAAAATATGCAGCCTGTGCATGTTTTCTTCTTTCATGTACCATAATTCACATCCACATAGTCCACAGCAAACTGGCACGCAATCGATTTTACCGATTCCGCAATTATATGTTACGTCAGGATAAAAAATGACACCCATTTATCCGAATACATAATCTTACCGGCTAACCATTCATCCTGTTTCAATCGTTAGAAATGTTGGTGTCGTGACTTACTTGTTTACAAGTTCTGTGTGTGAATTCCTATGAAGAATTGGTATGCAATAATGAGTACAGTATTATTAGTTCTACAATTTAATGTTATTAGCGCATCCTTTCATTCTCATGTGCATCACTTTGAGTTCAACAACCCGTAAACGAAACAACTCATAAGAGACTTAGTTCGAATCAATATACTACCCATTTTCCCTATTTTGGAAACACCACAACTAAAATGTATATTAAATTGTGTATGTATGTACTAAAGTTTCGTTTTCAAGACTACTACTGCAAAAAGATTACATAACCTATGACCATGCAGCGTGACCAAAAACAAACAAAAGTTTTTTGTAAGGTTGTTGAATATCGATATGAGCGATGTAAAAACATGTATTTTTACGAAGACTAGGTTTTAAACACAGTGGGACTCATCAAAAATAGATAATGTTGTTCAGAATCATTTTCATTCCTAGGTTTTTGTCAGATGTTCATCTTAGCACTTAAGAAGTTAATTGTAAATAATACACCTTTAGTTTCTGCACGAGCAGCCAATGTTTATAGTTGTCCCACTCTGACATACTTAACGCTCATACCAGGTGCTTAATCGGGTACACCACCTTCGTAAGCATTTTTATCGTAAGCGTAAGCACTTAACCTAATCTTGTTATTTTTGGTAACAATTAGTCTTTAATGATATAGTCACGTAAAACATTTTGTACGCAATGGGAGTGTGAAAAGGTAAAATATTATTCTTAATAAATACTTCAGTTAGTTATATGTATAACACAGTTTGATTATTATTGTTGTGTGTTTTTTTGTGTGAAGTGTAATGATGTGATGTTGTGTTGACACAACACAGATACAGCAAGACACTCGCGCAAAGAAGAATCTACAGATTACAGAATCTTACATTGACTACACATCCACTCTGCAGCAAAACTATTCAGGGAAGACAAGGAAGTCTATGTAGATAATACAATGTTAACATTAGAATATTAATATTTTTTCTTACCCCCCTCCGTCATTATGTTTTCTTATTACTGTTTATGTGTCTAAAGTTTAGTTAACGAGACAGAAAATACGGAAGCTTTTTGTATGCTGACCTCTCTTCCCCTTTTTATAAATTAGCCAACCACTGATTAGATGTACTGAAAGCGTTTTTAGTGTTTTGTTATCCTAAGGAAGAGAAGAAAAATAACATAAGAAAAAACAACTTGTTAATTTTATGCCAGACATAGGGATGAGATGGAGTGTGAATTAACCAATGCAATTAAAGTTTTGATAGGCAGATCACAAGCTGATCGATTCGCCAATTATTTTAACTGATAGATTTCACACGATAGGATGTTACACAGAATCTAGAGTGTGCTAATTATTATTTTCATTGGAGTATGGAGCTAGAAGAAAATACGTATTTTTAAATCCTCCCGGAATTGATCGTGATATTCATTCCAGAAAACAATTAGGTCGGATATCCTTATTTTCTTAGTTTCATTTAACTTGAAAGGTGTTTATTACATAACACCGGAATAGTAACTAAGCTTTCTTCTACACATAACCGAATATCAACATCCTCATCTCATTTTTAGTAAATGTCATGAACACAACCTGATGTAAATAACTAAACCAAAAATATAAAAGCTTTTGCTACTTGTTTCCTACTAGTATCAGTTTGTCAAAATTGTTTACCTACATAAAATCTATTAAGTATTACGTGCTCACTACTGACTAGATTCATGAGGGAATTCTCGGAGTTCTGGTGAGAGGTAGTGACCAGTGGAGCTAAACCATGTCAGGTAGAGACAGGTATCTTCCTCAATACAATGGAAGATGGTCGCGCAATTTCGTGAATTGGTTGGGGTTAGACATGAAAACCGTTGGATGTCGGTTAAGTGGTATAGGGGTTAAGCGTCTGAGCGTGCAGACCGAAGGTCCTGGGTCCGAATTCCGTGAGTGGAGTAGTGGATAAACACTGCTAAGGAGTCCTATAATGGAACGAAGTTGCCTTGCAGTATTCTCAGGTTTTCAATGGTGGTTTAACACCAATCAATTCATGATCTCAATCAGAGAAAAAATAAACTAAAGAGTAGATTGAATTCACTTAGTATTGTTTGTTTGGATCTTCCCATCGATGTGTTTAGGACTGCAACTGGTCAGTCTCTAATTGGCATATGTGCATACTGTGCGTATTGCCTCGATATACCTTAATTCACAAGCATGGTAAGCAGAGATGGATAGTGGCTAGCAGTGGAATCCAGGACGCGCGTTTCGTCCTATTTAAGGTATATATTTAAGGTCCTATTAAGGTATATCGAGGCAATACGCACAGTATGCACATATGCCAATTAGAGACTGACCAGTTGCAGTCCTAAACACATCGATGGGAAGATCCAAACAAACAATACTAAGTGAATTCAAACTTCACCCCATCGCACAAGCAAGTGGCTATCAGGACTCAGTGGCCGAGTGGATAACGCGATGGCGTTTGAAGCGAGGGTACTGGGTTCGAGTCCCAGAGTGAACATCAACTCTGAGATGCAGGTACATCCAGCTGACGAGTCCCAAATAGGACGAAACGCGCGTCCTGGATTCCACTGCTAGCCACTATCCATCTCTGCTTAAAGAGTAGATTGTTTACAATTAAAAAGCCATATACTTTAAAGGTTCTAAGCTTTATACAATTTGTAAATATTCGAAATTATTATCAATAAGAAAATAGTGTAAATATTGGACATATTTGATCTAATCTAACGACAGGTTTATTCCATATTTCTGTGTTCATGTGAATAGTAAGTATATAAGAAACTTGGCTTTTATACTCTCTACATACGAATTACTAGATGTGTAGACTTTTAAAAAATCGTGAAGACCAAGTAATCTTATATAATGTTACTGAAAAATATCTCTCACTTATCTACTGAATGTGGTGCCTCCACTCAGAGAAGATAATTTATTAGTTATTGATAAGTGAGTGGATGATTGATTTTCAAGTGCATTTGTATTAGTGTTTTACACAAACGTTTTAGGCTAAAGATTACTTTAGTGGCAGTGATACACTTTTCAATTTAGTTGAAAATAATGTTTCTCATAGACTTACATTAAACAGATTCCTACGCGCTAATACTTGAAATGTTTTTCATCTTAGTTTGGAATTCTTCATCAACGAACACCCACAGTCGTATTGGCTTTGAGTCCAAGATGATTAATAATCACTCTGACAACTGAGTTGGAATTCAGTAGTCAATATTTACAAGCCAGATTAGATCTGGATACCGTGTGAAGACATACACTTCTGTCTTTGGGAATCCATTCTACTTCAAGCCTAGTTGACCTTAAAATGTAAAGCTTACTTCCCAAACTCATGAGAATTCATAGACAAAACCTAGGCAGAATAAACAATTAGAGCCTAGCAATATTCCTAATGTAAAAAGCTACTGTAACGCAGTCATCTAGTATTAAAATTGTTTATTTTTCACGTGTAAAGGAATTCGTTAATCTTCTGCAAATACAATAAGAAATCACTAAAGTATTGATGTAGATTCAAGGTGATGAAGCTAATACATCCAAAATAGAACAACATCATTAGTTCTTAACTTTACTCGAAGCCCCTCTGAAGATACTATCACTCCCAAGTCCGGAAAAAGCAAGGCGACTGGTCGTAGAATTACCAACCCCATCCCATGAAAAGAAACGTCGCCACATAAAGGGTGACGAGAAATGATTATTTAAACTACTATAACTCTGTCTAAGAAGAGAACGGTCTTTATACGGAAGAGTCATGATATATAAAGGTGAAAGCCGGGATTCTTCAGAACCAACATTTCCAGTGCTCCTTCTGTAAACTAGGAGAACGATATACACAGGAACACGGGTTGCCCGAACGGAGTGGGAAACCGGTAAGGTCATTCGAATAGCTGCATAAACGAGAGGACACCATCTTACTATGCTTGTCATATGTGAAAATTTTATACGGTGAGAGGTACTGACGACCAA